CAGCTTTTTTGTCTTTCTTATCAACAATTGTTAAATCTGAGGTGTTATATGGCAGGTGCTTTTTGTTTATTTGGGAGACAGAGAAAAACTGACCACTGGCATTATTTCCAAGAAAGGGCTGGGGCTGGGAGGAAGATGGCCAAAGCATTGAGACCATTGCTGTCTCCACAATTAACATCTTCAAAATGAAAAAAATGGAGTGGTGGGGGAGAAGAGTGAAAAGCCTGCTGTTGCTGCCACACTAAGCAACCCTCCTTGTGTACTGTCATTTGATGGCCAAAGTTGTCAAACCATCCCACTGCCATCTATGACTGAATGGCAAGTGGGCAGACTTTTCAGGAGAAAAGGTCCAACTTCCAACATCTTCCAGACCCTCTACAATAATGATGGTTTCCCTGCCATATGTTCAGGGCCCTCTAGTAGAAAAACTACTTGGTAATAAATAATGTGAAAACCTCACTTTCAGAATATTTTAGTCATCAGTTATATTTCAGACAAGAGACCAAAATCAGATAAGCAAAAAGAAGAGGTAAAACCTCAACAGGGATGATGGGCTATATTGAGCATGTAATGGCAAGTACCAAGTGCTTAGAGTACACAGTTGCCAAGAATTAACATAACATTAAATCTGTCATAGTATTGTCATAGTCAAACATTAAAAATTCTTTGTATCCTACAGATATTATTTTGCAAAGTAACACATGCACATTTGACAACATTTAATGGGATATTTAATCTAACTAGAGATCTGGCTATCCTCAGTTATAGAAGGACTTCACATGTCATCAGAAATATAAAGTTTCTAGATAATTACCCACAGAGAATGCAATGTGCATACAATTTAGGGCACACACTAACATATTGTACAGGAGTATGGAGGCAGTCTTAAAGGAGGAATGCAAGAACTATCAAATAAACTTTAATTTAGACCTGGAAAAGAAGACAGGGTGAGGAAAAAAACCCACCTCAAAATAACTCCACCTTGATTCTGTTTGGTATAAGAGGAACCAGAGGGAAACTCTGACAGGTTTTCAAGATTCTGCTATTATACTTACATCAATAAATTGGAGTTCCACTAATCCTTGCATTGACTGTTCCCTGGACTGAATACCTGAATGGGCTGTCACACACTTACTAAAAAACCTACCTACAGGATCTCTTCAAAAAGATAAAAAAGGATTCAGCAGTAAATCACATACAGTGGAACCTCGGGTTACGAACGCCTCTGTTAAAGAACTTTTCGGGTTACGACCAGCTCCGGCTGCACAATTTTGCTTCGGTTTGCGAACTCCGGCTCGGGGTACGAACAGGATACGCGGCCATTTTCCGTCCCGTGACACGGTCCACGGCCATTTTTCCGCCCCTGACACGTGGTCCGCGGCCATTTTCCGTCCCGTGACACGGTCCA